CATTGTTGTTGCTGTTGCACTTGCCTGGCTGCTTATTTCGATTATCTTGATAAATTACGACGCTCGTGACATCCAACTGGCGGCATTATAGCTTTTTTTTTGTTTCGTTTTTTTTAATGGCCCAAAGCCCTTGAAAAACGCGCTGGAAATTAGGCCATTGTCGTTATTTTTAAATGTGCTAACTGAAATTTACGCATCATTTGCGAGCTTTATATACAAACCGTACTTAAATTAGCATCTGTTTATTGCTCAGTTCAGTGGGTCCCGTAGAGCTCCTTTGTTCTCATGCCTCATGAGCATTATGCGTATTATGTGTGCCTACCGTGTACTATGCGGGGCCAGTTAGTCAGCCCCCCTAACTGACCCATCATCATCATCATCATCTCCATCCCCATCATCATCATCATTATCAGCTTATTGGATGAATGATGCTTGTGATTCACTGAGCAGCTGTTTTAGATACTCTTACATGATGCGTATAATAATCGTATGATGTGCGCTCTCTACCCATATCGAGATCTCACTTTTCAATGAAATTTTTCCCTGTACTCATTACGACATCAACTATTTATAAATACCTGCATCACCTGTAGAATTTGTCCATAGTTCACGTTTGCTCTTGTGAAAATCGAAGGCAATTTACCTCGAACCACAACAAAGCGCCAAATGCCGCTTTGATACATGTCGAGTCGCTGTTTGCTTGTAGAACTCGGCGATCAACTTCTATGACTCACATGACTAAAGTTTTTGTTATTGTTGTTTTTGTTGTTGTTGTTGTTGTTGCTTTTGCTGCTCCTGCTGCCAGCAGTTCTACAACACAAAGAGACTTTTGCAATGCGCAAACATATGTTGTACTCGTACCCGTTGTCGTATTTGATATCGAGGCAATGCGACGTTCAGTGGGTCCATTGAATAATTAAGAAGCCCATGTCAGCGGAAGGCATTTAACAAAGAGAAACAGAGAGGGAGGGAGAGAGAGAGTATGTTATGAAATATTTATGATTAAGTAGTCACACCGAGCGGCGCTTGGATTGCTTTGGATTGAGGGGTCTACCATGGGAAATTGTGGACTACACTGAATCTGAATGTCACTGGATGGCGGCCGAGTGTCTGTGGGTGCTGCCACCCGCTAATGTTAATGGGCCTTTCCCATTTGCTGGGACTTTTTTTTTTGGTTGATAAATCAAAATTATGAGATTTTAATAGTCATCGTCGGCTGGCATTTATATGAGAAAATACATATTTTGTTGGCCTTTAAATTTTTCGTGGAATTCATTGATTTGTTTGGCATCGTCGTCGACATTTTATTGCTTGAGTGTGTCGTATTATTAATATTGTTCTTGTGGGCCTTCTTTGTGGATTGCGAAATATAATTGGAAAACCGCAAAGCCGTCTCTTATCATTACATTTAATTAACGATTAAAGTGCTTTGCTTGTGGCAACTGTTGCTGCGGAAATACTTAAATAGCAGATGTAACTACTGATTATCAAAGCTAACTACTGTAAGTTTAGCCAGACTAAAGCCCAGGCTTTATTTAGTCAACACATGCATATCTATATTGAGCTTGTATATGTTACAAAATAATAAACTATATTTATATACCTACAAAGTATCAAAGTAATATCTGCTTTCTCTCAATTAGCTTTCGCATTTTATAAATAAAAATATTTTAAAAGATCTCGGCGCCTTAGTAATGTATATATTTATATATGTGCATACATGTTAAAACTTATAGCACGTGCGGCATGCAAGACAACAAATGCACGCTTAGTTATTGCATACATATGTACATACATACATGCATACATACATATTTTTGCATTGCATGCCCACACTTTCCTGTTACTGCACTCAGTTGAACTGCTTCGTTGTTATACACTATACCCATTACATACTGATAAGAAAGAGCATATTAAATTTATGCATATGTATGTAGCCGGCAGAAACAAGCCACTGTTGACCAACTAGCCGGTATAGATAATTCTACCAATTCTTATGAAATCATACCTCTAGTAACTGCAAATAAATAAATAAATTTTAACTTAAAATATGTTACAGAGATCTTGTGCGCTGTCTACAATATGTTCTGTTATACACTGTATGCAGACAATAATATTTAACCTTTAGGTTAACTCACCTTATGTCGCGAAGTTGAGTACAGGGTAATTTAAAGTCGGCCACTTACCATCTCTTTTGCCTCGAGCAGCGTCACACACGCTGATTCCAGGCGAGCAGCCCAAGTTGGCGATAAGCAGTCGTCAAGCAAACGGTTTGTTGCGTCGATTACGCCATTCTCATTGGCTCTTAAACATAATTATCGAGTGCAATAATCGATACATTTTGAAGTGTTAAGCATGCTAACGGCCAGCGACACCAGCGAGTGCCATCCGTGGCGGACATCAAAGCTGCCGCAGAAGGCCAACAACACTCGTTTCCGCGTTGAGTGTAATTTAATTTACAATTAAAACGGCAGCAGGCCCTCACAACATTAACAAGGCGTTTACTTCTTCTATGCAGAGTGCTGCAAATCGCAAAGTTAATTAACTATGCGACGGACGCTGCCTACCCCCACCCCCTCTCCCTTTCCCTCTACCTATTTCTCTTTCTCACACTCTCTTTCGTCTGAGTTAGATGAATTGAGCTCTTCTATGCTAGAGCGCCAAGCAGCATTAAGTTGGGCTCATTAAGTGTTAATTAAAAAAACTAGAAACAGTTACAAAACGAATACTGTTTTTACCGCAGCAGCATTAAAGTCATGCAAGTTCAAGTTTATTGTTGTTGTTGTTGTTGTTGTTGTGGGCGAAGTGTGAAGATTTCTTGGTAAAATGCATGAAGCAGACACAGCACGTGCTTTGTTATTGGAGCATGTAACGTTTTATGCGATGCTGCAGAAAAAGGCGATGAATCAACAAATGTTGAATGAATGAAGGAGTGTGTGTGTGTGTGTGTGTGAGAGAGAGAGTGAGGGGAGTACCGTTTCCTGTGACAAAACACAAGATGCTGCCTTGGAACAGCAGCAGCAGCAGCAGCAGCAGCAGCAACTCCACCTATGCTAGGCTCTTTGTTTTCGACGTGCACATGTCGCGATGTGAGATAAATGCTTGAAAAATAAGCGAAGCGGCTGAATCAGACACCCACACACACACACTCACACATATGCAAGGCACACAGTGCTGGCACAATCTCAGCCTGCGAATCTGTCTGCCCACACAGCAGCAGCAGGAGCGTAGTTTCCGTTCGTTGGCCAGCTATAAAGTCCTTAGAGTGTCTCTGGCATAAACGAGACAATACAAAGGCAAAGTCAAAAGAATGCGCACCTCTCTGTTCACTCTCTCCCTCTCGCTCTCTCTCTCACTTTGTTTGTTGACTTGTTTGTACGCGTTAAGCATTTGTGAAACTTCAAGTGCAGCAGCAACTGCTGGTGCCGCTGGCCAAGGACATGGCTGTTGCCTTCATGGACAGGTGTAAATGTTGTGGAGCACAAAGACGTGCACCAAGGTAGCTACAACTACAAAGCACCAGCTCCAGATTCACGCTTCACTTGGCCTCATGTGTTTATTTAGATGCAGACAGTCGTATTTTGATTATGCCCAAGCACTCGTCGATGGGCTTGCAACAAATAAACAAAAAAGTCTGAGGACGCCTGAGGGTGGCTGCCACAGCTTCTTGCTGTTGATATGTGTGGCAATTAAATTATAAACATACAACATGTGCGCTTACCTGAGCCTATTTCATTAGAGCACAAAATGGCGAAAGGTGCGAAAATCAAAAATAACATCACACTGGGGTTACATCTGTAAATTGTGTAGGGTAAATGTGAATTGAGGGTTGCTTTTATACAAATTCTTTAGAATTTATAACAAGTTCGCTTTAAGAAATCTTAGCAAACGTTTCAATTAGTGGGCGTGGCATTTGGGGTTAAGCAAGTCGCGGTTTGAATGTTTTGTGCGTTAAACTTTTAAGACTTTCGCACACTGGTTGCCACTGAGTTATCTTGTAGCTTGTAGTGTTGCAAAACGAAGAGTTGTTTGCTTACTTGAAATATATATACATATGTATGTTTAGGGAAATTAGAAGACTTTTGTGAAATAATGCAATATATTATCTAGAATCAGGGCTCGAATACCAGGCAAGTGTTTAAGAGTGTAGTTGTGTTCTTGTCAAAGAGCTAGGCCAGGTTGATAGTTTATGACTAAATCCCATAACAATATACTATATATTTTGATATAGGCCTGAGATGAAATAACGCATGAAGTGCTTAAGCCATAAGAGAATGAACAGAGTAGTCAATATTTGTAATACTTAAACTTAACATCGTAAGGGACTCTGATTCATAATATTGAACTTTGGTGTGAGCACAAGGGTCATTCACTCGCTTCATTTACCAGCGACTAGCCAGGTCGACGTGTTCATTTTAAATGGCAAATTTAGTGCTGTTTGTGGCACTGGACAAAATACATGTGTCGATTGTTAGAGAAACTGAAACGCAACAATTGATATAATCAACGCCATTTGCTGATTGCCTATGTTATGCGGCGGAGAAACACAAAAAGCGGACGCAAAATCAACTTTTGAAAACATGCAATGACCGAGCGTTCGTTAGGCCTTATGATAGTCGTTTGTTTTATATTATTTTTTTTTTTTTTCAGAATTTAGATCATAAAGCGTCGATAAAAATCGCAGAGCTAGCCGCAGCACGCAGCGGTGGCAGCGACGGCGCCGTCATTGTTGCATGTGGCGTAGGAATAATAAAATAAAAGCAACAACAAACCAAACTATGTTGTTGCTGCTCTGCAGTTGTTGTAATAAAACAAATGCCCGAATGAATGAATATAAAAACTAAAATCTATAAAAGGCGAGGAAAATCGTTTATTCGCCTATTCGCCTATTGTTTGCATGTCAAGCGAACATTTTACGGACCGAACTTTACGGACGCAACCCATATTGGATGAAAGGAGAAATATTGAAAAAAAAAAAAAAATGTTGTTCACTTTTGCAGGGCGCCAACAAAGAAATACGCGAAGCTATCGCCGATCCTTCGCCCGAGGTGCAGGGCAAAGCGTGGTCCGCCGTGCTGCCGCTGGTCATAAAGCTGAAACGCTGCTACGAGCACTCCCTGGAGCTGGACAAAATAGTGCCCAAGCTGCTGGGCCAATTGGTTGGCGGCAAGCTGAATCCGACGCAGCACCTGGAGACACAGCAGGCGCTGGTCAAGCAGCTGGCCGAGATACTGGAATTTGTGTTGAAATTCGATGAGTACAAGGTGAGTAGCCCCACGTGTCTGTGTGTGTGTCTATGTGTGTGTGTGTTTGTATACGTGTGCGTGTCTGTTACAACTTTTGCCTGATTTGGGCACGAGTAACGCCCACTGGACTTGGCGCTGTTTCAAGGCGCGTGGGTCAACAGAGTTATGTCTTCTTTAAGACCAGGCCAACCAGACCAGACAACCAGTTGGTTTGTTGTCATTTGGTTTTCCTTATGTGGGTGCAACAGCCAGTTGAAGTCTTAGCCAAGCTGCCAACTCATTGCGCGCGTGGTTGCATTTTTAATTGACTGCCAGCTTATCCGTCCATCTGTCCAATCGTCCAACTGGCTGTCTGTCAGTTGAGGCGAGCGCGTGCTGCTGCCCATTGATGAAATATCTTGCGCTCTACAGTGAAGCCTCATTTGGCTGCACGCACTCGTTTAAACGGCCTGGCCAACTGTCGGCGCTTCAGTGAGCACGCAAAGCGGAACGAAGTATACTCTGTGGCAGCGTGTAGAGGAAGAGAACACATCTCTCAAGCCCTTAGATAGATCGCCTTTGACGTAGACTCGGAGTAAAGCATGTTGAAAATAATTAAAGCTGATAAAAAATAAGACAAAACAAGTTAAGAGGGCTCTGAAAAAGGTAACCGATGCGGACATAGTCTGTAACTTTATGCCTCGGAAGTGTTTCATCTCTTAGCCTTAAACTATTGCCCGATCTGTTTGAAATGGTTCATGGCTTTAAAATGGCATCGTCATGTTTATTTGAAAAGCATAACTAGATCGATTGGATGCCTCCTTGTGCCAGCTACATACACAAGCACAAATCCATGATGAACTTTTCACATAATAATTGACCAATATGGCTCAATGTGGGCCAAACTTGCAACTCGTAGGATCAGATAGCTCTGTCTCTTTCCCTTATTCCATTGACATATAAATGTTAGCCTTTTATTGTGTGGCCCAAACAGAAATCGATTGAAGCACTGGCAAATCTATGTATGCGCGTTTTTCCATGGCTCGTTGCCGTTTTGTAAAACTTTTATGAAATCGAATCGAATGCGGTTGTTGTGGATCACAGGTAGGGAGGGAAGGTGGTTGTGCGGCACTGCAGTTTGACAGAGGGCAATTCTCTCTCGTGTGCAACTTTTATGCTGAAGTTGATAATGATGATGATATTGAGAATGATGACGGTGTCGTTGTGTGTTTAAGTGTCATTTCGGAAATACACATGCACATACACAGCCACATGCACATGCACATGCACATGCACATGCACAGGCACATGCACATGCACATGCACATGCACTTCATATACTTATATGTAGGATGCAAACGTGCCTTGCCAACTAACAGTAAAAGGCACTTCCGTTTCTAGGCAATTTCCACATTGTCCGCACACTATTGTTGCTCGGGGTGTTCCCGTTTATTTCGCCATTTAAGAGTGTGCCTCAAAGTATGCTACAAATGTTATTGACTGAATTCGTTAAACAGATTAAGCGTCGACTGTTCAGCTACAGTGATGCCTCTCGCAAAGCGAACACGGCTCGGAAGGGTTTTTCTTTTACGTGAGATAGCTGATTATGTAGATCAATATTTACATTTATATATACATATTAGAGTATTTTTCTGGCCGCAATTATAAAGATTCTTGGCACACGCCCAGAAAGCAAATAAGTATTGCATGTTTTTGGCACATTCGGGACGTATTCAGTTGACACAGGAATTTATTTCGATTTGTTGACCCAATTGCGAATCACTTGTCAACAAATGTGCTATAAAATGGCAACAATCTTTGCGGATATTTACGCAAGTAGTCCGCGTAATGTTTTTCATATTTCGCCTTAAACTCGCGATGACCAAGTGGCTGAGCCGGCTCATAGTATCCGTAGTTGTTGTTGTTGTTGTTGTTGGCCAGAGAGCGACTGCCGCCGATTCGAACGATTTGATCCTCCCCGCGTCGGGAATCAGCCCCGGCAAGCAGCTCACGTTGCTCCAGTTCTGGCTGGATCTGCGGTTGTGTGTAGTAAAAATGTTCATTGTTGTAATTGTGATTGGCAGCGCGTGTGGGCGGCACGTTATTGATGTTGTTGCTGTTCAACCAATTGCGGCTCCTCCTGTCCGACTCCACATTGGCAAAGGTATCTCTATTGTTGTCGTAATTAAATGGCAAATACTGACGTTGCTGCTGCTGCTGCTCCTGCTCCAGGCCATTCGCTCCATCATGTACAACAATTGGCGCACCGGACCACACGGACTGCACCGCAGCAGGATAAGTCCGAGTATAGGTCAGTGGTGCGTCCGGATAGCCACTCCATAGAGGCTGCTGGGCCTGTTGCTGATTATAGCCAACAAACTGACCGTTATAGCCCGATGACGCATATTGGGCGGCTGTTGAGTGTGAAGCTACTAACAACAACGCAACTAACTGAAATATTAAGTTACATAACAACAAATTAATCATCTGGATGTTTAATAATAGCAACAGATGAAACGAAAACAAAACTCACCCACTTAAAGCCTCTGAAGCCGCTGTTGTTGATGCTGATCCGTGTTGCTTGCCGCATTGTTACTTACTGTTAGAACGATTTATGCTAATAACGTATTTATATTAAGTTTTGTTCACATATAATATATATAAAACGCTGTCATGTTTCAAGCGCTCCCTCAAGGTAAATGATGAGACACTCGTCGGCCGTTGGGGCGGCAGCTCTCAGAAGTGTATCTCACGCACGACTCCAGTGCAGCCCTGACAGTTAAATAGACTCTGAAATGTATGTATTCGCGTTATCCGACTCGAAAGCTAAGTTTTGGGCCTGGCTGAAAATTACAAAAAATTAAGTCCAATTGCGATGTCACGTAGTGCAATTAGAGATAAATGTGGCGTCTATTAAAGTGGCTAGCAAAGCAGTTCAAATAGATTGCATAAGCAGTAAACTGTTCTACATGCAAATGTAAGCTGCCAAGCAGTGCACTGCTTATCTACTTCACACTTACCAAGGGCCGAACTCCCGCAGAGAAGTTATCTTGGGCTCATTTCTGTACAGGCACAATCGATGCATCCCAAGCCTTGGAACAAGCTTTCTCCGAGATGGTCTTTGCCTAGACAATATACAGAAGATCTGTTTAGTTTTCTTTCAGAAATACAGTACACAGTACATATTAAAAATAAATAATTGAATACACTTACATCTTGTTTTCGTTCTATTTCAACATTTAGATGAAAACGCCCGCCATACAGAACGACTTCAGCTACTACAGGCGCATTGTCAGTCGACAGCGCGTGGACTCCACGGAAAACATGCTGGTCAGCACGGAGCTGGCGAATCGTATGTCGCTATTCTATGCGCATGCCACGCCCATGCTAAAGGTGCTCAGCGAGGCGACATCCAAATTTGTGAACGACAATGCGGACGATGTGCAAAATACAACAGAAACTCTTGGTACAATGGCCAAAGTGTGCCTGCGAATGCTGGAGAATCCGTGAGTGGCTCCCAAATGATAACATTTACAAGAATTGCAATTAATCAAAGACTTACTTGACTTTCCAGTAAACTGCTGCAGCAGATCGAACGGGAGGAGACGCAAATGCTGGTGCTGCGCGTTATGGTCGGACTGGTCATACTCTACGATCATGTCCATCCCGTGGGAGCGTTTGCGCGCGGAGCCCACGTGGACGTGAAGGGTTGTGTGCGGCTACTGCAGGCACAGCCGGCGATAAAGGCGGAACCCCTGCTGAACGCCCTGCGCTACACGACGAAGCATCTAAACGAGGAAAACACGCCGAAGAACATACGCAATATGCTAGCCGCATAATGGCAGAGTCCGGCGTGGAGCAAGCCAAATCGTTTTGTTTATGTGTAAAATTTGTAACGTTAACTTTGTTTAAAGATTTAAACGGTTTTTAATTTATGTAATTAATAGGCTTCTACTACGAGTATATATATATATAGAATTATTATGTTTAAATTGTGTGAATGTTGTGCAGAAAGGAGGCAGGCAGCATTTAGTTTTATTTATACATTTCCAATATTTGTCGTATTAATTTGTAATCATATTTTGTTCTCTTGTTTGGCGCCTCCTTGTGAAGTAAACATGCAAATATATATCAAAAACAACCAGAAACAAAACAATATTTAGTTCATAATCTAGCACTAATATTAAGTAATGAACAAACCTATTACAAATTGATTAACAAAACAAATTAGCGCAAAGTATAATATGATGGAAATGAATATCCTAAATTCCAATTTCAACTACTAACCAGAGATTATAAATTTAAATACAATTTTTAAATCAACTTTAGCATATTTTTTTGTACATGATATAAATTACAATTAATTATAAAACTAAAAACAAAAACAAAAACAATACATACCAACTAAAATGGCCTAAACAAAAACTGAACCATCAAACATTAAGAACGCAGATGCATTTATATTTTCACTCTGAACAAAAGATTTGATAAACATATTAAACCGAACCTTTGTATGATTATAAAAGAATGCTGCGCAATAATATTTTAAGACTTACACAAAGAAATTTATAAAGCTTGTATTAAAACGAACAAAATCAATCAATCAAGCAAGCGAAAAAAAAATAAACTGAAAACACAGACTAAATAATTCGATTTATGTGCGGTAGGAGTTAATGCCACAACAATAAACACATGTTGATGAGTATCTAGAATAAATAGTTATTGCGCAAAATGAAATATTAGTTGCTTTCTCACCTCACTGAATATAATAGAACTCTAATTTGATTATTTAATGATATGACGCTTATGAATCATTTCTGTAGATCTTGTTCTGCGATCGGCAATGAATTAGTTGAGGCCCAGTTTCAGCCTCTGCTGGTCTGGGGTCAAGCTTGGCATTACTGTCGCATCTCCTATGGGGCTAGGAATATCAGGTCGGAGCCATAGACACCTGGTGATACATATTGGTTCATTCAAATATAGTTAAATGTCTTCATGTGTTGCCTAGGAATCATAATGCGCTATGTCTGATTTAAGAGTCTGTTCATATTGATTTTTAAATAATATTCTTTATTTTGAGAACGCTTTGCTGCCCATTCCCAAGGAGCCGTGCCACATCGCTGGCAAGCTGCTTAGCCGCAACAGGCCTTCACATCGTCCTTATTTTCACCCTGATTGAGTGGATCGGCGGCTACGCTGCGCACGAACTTCGGATGTCCATGATGTGCCGGAGGAGCTGTTTCAGCTGAAATTCGAATAGTTGACTGGTTGGAAACTGCAAACTTATTCGATGAATTTTAACTTGCCTGCTGACATGCTGAAAACAACAGCCAGGACGAGTACGAGCAGAAAGAATATCTTCATGATTGAGCTTGGATGACGGTCAAGTGACTTCTGTTGTTTTCAGTGGGCGAGAGTAAGTATTTATACTTGTTGACCGCGATTACATAACGATTTTCCAATAAGCCCTTTTGCCAACAAACACTTGGCGTTAGTAATAAGCAACTAATCACATGCATTCATTAACAAAACAGTTGACAAATTCTGTTTTGTTTTATGCCCTTGCAATGTAAGTATAATGAATTGTGTTAATCTTCGGTGGATTTTCCCGGTTGAAGCTAAAGCCATGCTTTTACGTTCAGTTCGCAAGCCTTGTTTGTATATATATATATATATTTATATTTTAGCCCAATTATTCAATTTGTGATAATATCATACTATATGGTTCCCTTCCAACATCCAGATCTTGTTTAAAGTTTATACTATGTGCCGATTTCGAGGCGCTTCCTACATACATATAAAGACTCCTATGTAACGTATCGTCTTGTATATTTGTTGGTCTTCAAAAACATTGATTCAATGATAAGGAAGATATATATATTCCTTAGTTTCAAATCAAGATGTAATTTTTTTCATATTCCAAACCTGTACTAGGTGGGATTTGACATTTGCTATTAGGGAATAAATGTATAGGAATCCTTTCTGGTTTATGCGAATATACATTTATCTGATATATGTCTATACAAAACTCGTTTGATATCGGATGCATTCCTCATGGAGTGGGGCTATCGGAAGACTAGGCCCTGCGTCATACAGTACAAATTTCCATTACAAAAATCAATGTTAAGGCGCGTATAGAAAATCCTTTTTCGCTTTAAAAATAATGCAATGTCAAGTTACAAGTAGCTTAAAATAAATCCACAGGAGAATTTTTCTAGTAGCTGCAATTATCTATAGCATTCATGCTATCTGCCAGGCATCTTAAAAGAAGAATCAGCAATAGACGATATTCTTATAAGAGTCCTCTTCTTATACAAAAATATACGAAGCAATTTTGATAAGCCCGAAGCTCCTAACCTTAAGCTCAAGTAAAATATGCGAATTCATAAAATATTCATAAAATCAAACTCCAGGATTGCTGTCGAATATTAAAAGTACATGCATATGGATTTTCAAAATATTGCTTTTTTATTGATAATACGAGACATGTTATGTATCCTGCAACACCATCACCATGCCAATGAGGTACTGTTTAGCCGCAACAACCTTTTGGTTCATCCTTTTTCTGCTCTTGTTCGACTTCTTCAAAGGCGGCGCTGCGCACGATCCTTGCTCCTTCTGGGATCGTGGTTGTCTGCATCCCAGTGATGTCAGTTTCCGCTACAATTTGATTACTTCAATGGTAAAAACTACAAAAATTATTCGCTTGATTTCATCTTGCCTGCTGACATGCTGAAAACAACACCCAGGAGGATAACGATCAGAAAGAAAATCTTCATCATTGGATTTGGATGATGGCTGCGAGGCTTTTGTAACTTTGCAGTACCCGGGGGTCTGTATTTATATAAGGTTTTTATTATTAAAACACCTGGAATTACGAAGTCACAAAAGTAACTCGGCTTTTTCATTAACTGAACAAGTGTAAATTTAATTAGGTAAATAATTTGCAAAGATAATTAATGCTCCGGAGCTAATGTGCAATTGCGATTTGATGTATCACACGATTGGTTCTCGAAAGAAAGAAACACGGCCCTGCATCGAGCGGTCGACCGTGCTCTGAAACACAGATTGCAGGCGGCTGTGCATAAAGAAAACTCCGTTAAGGCGCTCCATGGAAGTCGAGCAGGCATTCTATAAGGTCCGGAATAAGAACCTTCTCTTAAAGCTGAAGTCTCATCTCCCAGCGCCATACTCCAACATCCTTAGCTTCTGCTTCAGCGTAGTCGTTAAGCTGCCAAATTCTGCGGTAGAATATCATAGATGACGTTTCGCAAGGCTTGCCCTATACACGCATGATATGCTCTCCTTTGGTGGAATTACACCAATCCCTGCAAGTGCTTGGGCGTCCAAGAGTTGGATATCAAATTAAATTGTTCAGAAACCGTAACGCCAACAAATTGCCTATTACGGTCGCTCTGGCAGACCCCATTACTGAGACGCGCCGTAAAAGGCTTAACCCCGCCAACCTCCCATGTAGGCGAATCATTAAGCGGCAGTTTTCATTTGCATCGTGATAATCGTGATAACTGTCTAGGTCCATAAGGATTTTGAGTGAACATTAAATAATTATTGAACTATATGTTTGATAAAATAAGGCAATACTCACCAGCTAGGGCCTACATATTTGTCATTAACAATTTTGGCTTATTTCGTCAATTTGTTGAGCTGCAACTTGTCAGTCGTTTGATTCTTCAAGACGTTCCATGGCGTTCCGAAATGATACATATTTAATTTTGTTTTGGTTGATTGCAGAAAGAAATAAGAGCTCGAACAAGTATATGTACAATGGAGCTTTTCTTTTTTTATAATTTAACCAAATGAAGCGTACTTAAACAATTAAATTTGATGTATGAATTAAACTAAGTTTTTGGATGCGAAAAAGCTATCATCTTGGAAGTATGCATCATAGTCATTGTATTAGTAGGGCAAGGCAAAATGAAATTAATATCCGTATACAGCTTCATGTGTTGCCGTTGTTATTACATTGACGAGGCTTTAATATTAACTTTCCAGTGTGTGGCTCCAGGTCGAGGGCAAAATCTGTGAGCACCGTTCGTGTGCGCGACGTGATTATCGACGGCGCCACAACTAGCTTCTGTATGCCCAAAATGAAGAGCACTATCAATGTGACTGTGGCCACGGTAAAGATGGGGTGTATCCAGAGCGATTCCGTCAGCGGCACAACGGTTGTGCGAGGATCTCTCAGCCAGTACCAGGCACTGATAGCCGTGCATACCGATAATGCAGATAGTATAACTATTAGAGGTAATTTTCATTAGGTGGTAAATGCGCTTAGTTTGACAAGGAATGATTTGTTCTTACTACGCCAGCGGAACGTGGATGGCCTGTACGATGAAACCACCTCGGTAAGACGCCGTTCGAATGCCTTCAAATCTTCGCAAGCTGATGGTTCCATCGCGCCAATTTCCTCGATGCTCGTGGCTGTTTTGATGTGTTTGAAATTGTCCAGCTTATTTGTGTAATTTTTTTCCTTTAATTTGATAAGATTTCACATTTGATTTGTTTTTGTGTTGAGGTTGATCTTAAATAATGCCAAATATTAATACCCAAAAATAAATACTATATACTAAACGTAATATTGAAATGCGCCTAGGTAAACAACTAGCAGCTGTTCTTTGTTCCTTCCTAACACTACATTTTATCATATCGCAACACTTCGCTATCAAATACGTTTACAAACACTAACCGAGTCCGCCAGAAATAATTTGCTGAAAAAATTTCTTGATTAAATATGAGCAGCAAAGAATGGAAACGCTTGGTCAAGTTGGAGTACATGAAGATACGCCAGCAAAAGCGCTACAAACGCGCTGATGAAATTAAGGAGGCGTGGATTAAAAACTGGTAAACAAGCTGTGCGGCAAAACGTGTCGCTTAGCGTCTATTTAATTGCCTTGCGCTTTACTTCATTCAGGGATGAGCACAACCACAATGTGCAGGATTTGTACTGCGAATCGAAAGTGTGGCAGGCAAAACCGTATGATCCACCGCACGTTGACTGTGTGAAGCGAGCTGAGGTTACCAGCTACAATGGCTCCAACAGTGGCCCGCAGCGTGTGCCCATTTGTGTGATCAACGCCGTAACGCCCATCCCCACAATGTACACATGGGCGCCCACTCAGCAAAATTTTATGGTCGAGGATGAGACTGTGCTGCACAACATTCCATATATGGGTGATGAGGTGCTTGACAAGGATGGCAAGTTCATAGAAGAGCTGATCAAGAACTACGATGGCAAGGTGCACGGCGACAAGGATCCATCATTCATGGATGATGCCATATTTGTGGAGCTGGTACATGCCTTGATGCGCTCGCATAGTAAGGAGTTGGAGGAAACAGTGACGAGTCCATCTGCCAAAACGGAAACACCAACCGCGCCAAAATTAAAGGAGGAAGATGAGAAAACAGAGACCACGACATCGTCAGAGCCAACGGCAGCAGCTTCTTCGTCTGCCACTGAAGACAAGGAGGCTGTGCCAGTTGCAGTTATTGCAGACACAAAGTGCAAAGTAGAGAAAGTTAAGGAGAAGCTACCGTTTCCAGCACCTATCATATTTCAGGCAATCAGCGCCAACTTTCCGGACAAAGGCACTCCTCAGGAGCTAAAGGAAAAGTGTGTTGTGTGCTTACATCTTTGTTGTGTGTATGTTAAACGTGCTCTTACATTCAGATACATCGAGCTTACCGAACATCAGGATCCCGAGCGTCCGCAGGAATGCACGCCTAACATCGATGGCACCAAGGCGGAGAGCGTTTCACGCGAGCGGACTATGCACTCGTTCCACACATTGTTTTGTCGACGCTGCTTTAAATATGATTGTTTCCTGCATCGTAAGTGGCATCTTTGTGCTTCGCCTCCAGTTGGGTTGCTCTTAATAACCTTTTGTTTTGCTTTTTCTCTTTATTTGGAAAACAAACAAAAATTGTTGCAAAACATTTCTTTTGTCTAAACAACCTCTTAAAATTTTGTAAAAAAAAAAATAACTGCAATTTAGGTCACCATGTACAGGGTGAGTCGTTGTTGTAGTTGTTGTTTTCGATAACCACACGCACACACACTCATGCCGCCTAGGCCCAAATGTCGCCTTGCTCCACATCATCATCAATCTTTCCTATATTTTTATATATTATTTATGTCTGTGGAAATCGGCAAAAATGTCTTGTATCAAAATTTTCTTGGTGTTTCTCGCCTCATTTCATGCGGCTTTTGCATCCTTCGTTATGTAACGTATCTGTTTCATGCTCTAACCCCAAGCGTCTCATAGTCATGTCCTCTAGATAAGACCTGATTCCAGTTGTGCTAAAACTTGGATTTTCGATTCACAGGTTTGCAGGGACACGCTGGTCCCAACCTGCAAAAGCGTCGCTATCCGGAATTGAAGACCTTTGTGGAGCCCTGCAGCAATTCCTGTTACATGTTAATTGTGAGTTGTACATTTTAATGATGTTCACCATTTAAGTAAATATAATTATCATGCTAACAGGATGGCATGAAGGAGAAGCTAGCAGCTGATAGCAAAACGCCGCCTATAGATTCCTGCAACGAGGCCAGCTCCGAGGACAGTAATGATAGCAATAGCCAGTTTAGCAACAAGGATTTCAACCCCGAGAATGGCAAGGATAATGGCATAGCTGTCAATAGCGCGGAGATCAACTCTATTATGGGTAAATAAAATACATTTTGCAGATCGAATGCTCATTCCGAATTCTGCTTGCTTTAACATGTCTTTTTATCCAGCTGGCATGATGAACATCACCAGCACGCAGTGCGTATGGACTGGCGCCGATCAGGCGCTCTTTAGAGTGCTGCACAAGGTGTATTTAAAAAATTATTGTGCAATTGCACATAATATGCTCACGAAGACCTGCCGTCAGGTGTACGAGTTTGCGCAGAAGGAGGCCGCCGAGTTTAGTTTTGAGGATTTGCGTCAGGACTTTACTCCACCGCGGAAGAAGAAGAAAAAGCAGCGCCTATGGTCGCTGCATTGTCGCAAAATACAGCTGAAGAAAGACTCGTCATCGAACCACGTGTACAATTACACACCCTGCGACCACGCCGGTCCCTGCGACATGAATTGCTCCTGCATACAGACGCAGAACTTTTGCGAGAAGTTCTGCAACTGCAGCAGCGATTGCCAGAATCGTTTCCCAGGCTGTCGTTGCAAGGCCCAGTGCAACACCAAGCAATGTCCTTGTTATTTGGCTGTACGAGAGTGTGATCCTGATTTGTGTCAAGCCTGCGGTGCCGATCAATTTAAGCTGACAAAAATCACTTGCAAGAATGTTTGCGTGCAGCGTGGATTGCGTAAGTTGCTTGTCGTCCCAGTAACTATTCCAAGTTTTGCTTAACTTCGGTCCTTGCAGATAAACATTTGCTGATGGCCCCCTCGGACATTGCCGGCTGGGGCATTTTTCTTAAGGAGGGAGCACAGAAAAATGAATTCATATCGGAGTACTGCGGCGAGATAATCTCGCAGGACGAGGCCGATCGTCGTGGCAAGGTGTATGACAAATACATGTGTTCATTTTTGTTTAATTTGAACAACGACTTTGTTGTGGATGCCACACGCAAAGGCAACAAGATTCGATTTGCCAATCATTCGATCAATCCCAATTGCTATGCCAAGGTCATGATGGTCACTGGCGATCATCGTATCGGGATTTTCGCTAAGCGGGCCATACAGCCAGGAGAAGAACTCTTCTTTGACTACAGATACGGGCCCACTGAGCAGCTCAAATTTGTTGGCATCGAACGAGAAATGGAAATCGTATAAAATATACTTACATTTATATTCCACCAAAATGATATATCCAACTAAATAAATATCTATATATTGATCCATGCTTAAACTGTTTTCGCCACATTGGCTATAATTGGTTTGGGTCGCGATTTGAAAATTAGCTTCTTTGTACATATGGCACGCACCGTATATTCGGTTCGTTGACGACTCTTGTGCTCGAGTGCTACTGTATCATCCAGTAGAGTACGTTCGGCTCCTGCGGTGGCATTTAAAGCGCTTGCTTCCAGCGTTGCATTTGTTATATTCAGCAGCTGCTGCCCTTCATTAGTCTTTGATTTTTCCAGCACTGCAAACGGTTTGTCCAGCTTCTGCTCGCGTCCTTGCAGTATATGATGACCTATGATTAGAATCTGAAAATCATCAGAAAAAGATGAAATTATCCTTACATATATTATCTTTTAAAAGGCCTTATATCAAATACTTTAACCTACAGGTTGGCCATATTTGTTGTAGTACAGATCACCTATGAACTGATCGTGCATGCTTTGATTGCTGCGCACCTCTAGATCACCTTGCAGCTCAATGATGGCCCATTCGCCAGCGCCAGCACTGGAACTAAAATGAAGAATTTCAATTAGGCGATATAGGATTGTTTTTAGTTAAAAAGAGAATTCCAAGTTGAGAATTTAAAGAAACACTATACAATCAGAATGAAATAATTTTATTAAGCTGTAAACAGTCTATTATCCTCTGAATTTCTTAAACAAAGGATGCACGCTGCCGACGTTCTTGCGTCGATGCTCATAGTAGATGGCATCATCACCACCTGACATTGAGCTGAGGCCGCCCATACGTCTTGTCGTGCCACCAGCACCGCTGGGACGATAACCCGGTTCGCCTGGCACTTTTTCATCCTCGCAGTCTAAATCGGAGGCAGACAACACCAGTTGCAAGAGCTGGCCCTGCTCTTCCTGTGTTCCGTACATTAGGTCGGTTTCAGTGTCCATGCCCTTAAGATGTGTTATAACCTTGTAGCTATAGCCCTGATTCACAAGGAAACGCTGGCGCTTGCGCGAATAGCTCATCTCCATTGTATCCTGGGAAACGAGCGTGTAAAAAAATGCATTGTATTCCTCGGCAATGGCACCCTTTTTGGCGCGTAGAATACGACCCAAACGCTGTGCCTCTTGGCGACGTGAGCCGCCATGCGACGAAATTTGAATGAGCACATTTGCCTCGGGCAGATCAAAACTGGTATCGGCCACTTTGGACACAAATATGGTGTTGACCTAATCACCAAACAGAGTATAAAATGAGGGTACGGTTTTGTCCTGATGCATTCATTATTCACATACCTTGGCATTAAACTTGAAATTCTGTAGGATTTGTATACGTTCATTCTGGGATGTGGGTCCATAGATGAACGGCTTGTTCATCTTGATGGCATAGTGTTTTAAGGCAAACACATTGTCAGAGAAGACAATAGTTTTGTCGCCACGTTTTTCATGATATTTTATTAGAAATTGGCAGCTGCGAAACTTTGAGGGGTTCATCACATAGAGCAGCATTTTCTTAGACGTCTTGGTGGTTAGATATTCACGATAGAACTCCGGTGACATGGGACACCATACCTCGGCACACTGCACGCGTGCTATATAGCCCTTCTTTTGGAGCTCTAGCCAGTTTGCCTCGTACAGCTTGGGACCAATTAAAAAATTGAGGTCCGCAATTTTGTCGTCCTCACGCAGTAGCGTAGCCGTTAAGCCAAGTTTGCAGTGGGACTGCACAATGGTGAGAACACGGCGGAACATCTTTGCGGGAATGGTGTGTACCTCGTCCAACACCATGATGCCCCATTCCTGCTCCTGCAGCCAGCGCATGGTTTGTTCCGCCTCCCATGAACGCTTCTGTGTGTGTGTAATCATTGAGTATGTGGTAACTAATATGCCACAGCCCATAGGTTTATCCTTAGCCTCCGATGTAAACCGGCAAATCATGCTATCATCTGCCGTGGACCACATCTTGAACTGCTGTTTCCACTGTTCCACTGACACGCCACTGTTGCACAGCACCAATGCCCGCTTACGCACTGTACAACAAGCAGTGACACCTACTAAAGATTTACCTGCGCCGCACGGCAGTACAATTACGCCCGAGCGGGCTCGCCCATTGCCAAACATTTTGCGCAGGCTCTTTTCCTGGTATGGACGCAGAACGGCTGCTGGCTTCAGATCAATATTAATATCTGGATTGTTGGTATCATTGCGAAAATCATACTCTGCTAACAGCGGATGCTCGATTTCAATGCAGCGTTTTTGTATTAACTCAATTTTTTCTTGCGATACCTCAAATGATACTGTCTTTAGATTAGCTTCGTCCTCATCTTCCTCTTCCTTGTCAATCTTCTCGTAGAAGTCGGTAATGTCCTCGGGTACTGTAACAGTTGCAGCGGCACCCTCTGCGGGTGCGGCGGCCGCCGTTGCTGCTGCCGAGGTGCTAGCCGAATCTTCCCCTGGCTTATCAGGCCCCGCCGGTAACTTGGTGCCGAACTGGGTAATAGCTTTACCATCCATGGTGCCTTGTATAAAACCCTCGCCCTCGCTGCGTATCAGTCGACACTTTTGAATAACCGGGTCCTTAAGCAATTTCTGCAGCACCTCTGGATGTGGGGACTCAATAAAATATTTGTTATGCTTCAGCACAAGCTTCACTTTGCCGTACGAGAGCGTACAAAGGCGTATGAATTCCAATATGCCTTCTGGAATGGTGGTCTTGCTCAAGCGCTTCAGATATTCCACAATGTCGTGTGTTTGCAGTCCTACAGACACAGCTGCATACAAGCTATAGGCCGTCAGTTTGTATTCGTGAATGTGTTCCGGCCGACATACTGGCTCCGAGATGGCAATGAGAAAGTCATGAGCATGCTTGTAGACCGGCGAAAAGGACTCAAGAAACACGTGCCCATTGGGTGCCACCCACAATGGGCGATTGGCGTGATCTGGGCGCAGTTGCATCTGGCTGCGATAATCTTTTGCACCGTATTCGTCTGTGTTGATGTTCTCATCATTGGTTTCGGCGTTCTTTGATGCGGCGCCGGGCACTCCGTCCGACTCACTGGCGTTGTCCATGCTGTCATTGTCTTCCACCAGCTGGGTGAACGCCTCATCCTCCGCGCGACGCTTCTTAGCTGTGAAGTCGTTTCAGTTTTACCACGCAATCGGGTTACTCTGGTGATGTGCTTACCAAATTTATCGCTCGCACCACGGTCCTTTTTTGATTTTTTTGGCGGCCCCATTGTGAAATATTGTTTCGGTGAAACTTTGCTTCAATAATGAAACAGCTGTTTGCAGTGTTGGAAAGTTAACCGCAGAAAAGAAAAACGCGCGAACATTGACGAAAACTGGCAACTTTGCTACATGAGCTATGTAGCTTTGTTTAAACCGTATTCAAACATATTGCGTTATCTTCACTTTCAATTTTACTTACGTTTTGATAATGATAGGCATATTTTTCTTTTTTAAGCGCACTAAAAGTTATCACTCTGCACTAGTGGACGTCCGAACAACAAGTGGAGTGCTGTTGACTACAGCGCGGCTGCTATTGCATGCCAGCGTTGCCACATCAGTGAAAAACAGCTGCTGGATTCATGTTAATTTACAGACGGTCAACATTTAATTAACAGTGAGCAGTGCTGTTAATAACAGTTCGGCTCCTCCATGTAAACGTTGCCACAGCTGTTCAGCCATGTTACATTAAATGAATTACTGAATTTGCGTCACAAATGTTAAAATTTAAGTTCAAGCCGCGTTTATATTTTTCCATTATATTGGGAAGAAAATTCTAATCTGATAAGAAAATCAATATTATCAGACTGAAATACTTTAATAAAGCTGTAAGCAGACAATTATCCTCTAAACGACTCTCTTGTAGAGGGCATCATTTCCACCTGACATTGAGCTCAGTCCCGTGCGTTTTGTTGTGCCGCCAGCGCCACTTCCTCATCCTCGCAGCTTGAATCGCCGACAGACAGCAACAACTGCAGGGGCTAGGTCTCCTTTTTTATGTTATGTATATTAGGTCAGTTCCTGTGTCCACGCCTTTAAGATATCTAGCGCATAGCGCATCTCCATTGTATCCTGGGGGGCGACTGTGTATAAAAATTCATGCAATGGCATCCCTAATGGCCCTTTCGGAGCAGGCAAATCAGAACAAGTATAGCCCACTTTTGACACAAAGATGGGTGTTCACCTGTCAGCAATCAGAGAATAAAATAAGTATATAGTTTTGTCAGTTTGAATTATGTATTAAACGGGGAAACCTACCAGATCACGCTTTGTTTGGCGTGCTCGTCTTTTACCAAACATTTTGCGCAGGCTCATTTCCTGGTTAATTAATATTAATATCAGCATTGTTGGAATCATTGCGATAATCATACTCTGGCAGCAGCAGATGATTGTATTCAATGCAGCGTTTTTCTACCATAGGCTTCTTCTTCATCCTCCTCTTCCTTGTCAATCTCCTCGAAAAGTTAATAATGTCCTCGGGGAATCGAACAGCTGCAGCGGCACCCTTTGCGAGTGCGGCGGCTGCCGTTGCTGCTGCTGAGGTGCTAGACGAATCTTCCACTGGCTCATCAGCCCCAGCCCGCAACTTGGTCCTAGACAATGTAATAGCTTTACCATTCATGGTGCCTTGTATAAAGCCCTCGCCCTCCCTGCGTGAAAGTGAACACTTTTGCATGACCGGATCCTTAAGCAATTTCTGAGGCACCTCCGGTTGTTAGGACTCAATAAAGTATTTACACGGGCTTCACTTTGCCGGACGATTGCGTACAAAGGTGGATGTATTCTAATATGTCTTCTGGAATGGCTCTGGGTGCCGCCCATAATGGACGACTTGCATGCTCTACGCCTCATATTTCGCGCGGTTTGCTGCATAAGCTGTTGTTTTGTATGAATTGTAATAACTACATTTTTAAACTTTCTCAGTTACGTTTTGATGGTGATACGAATATTTATTTTTATAAATTCACCGCAAAAATCTAAGTATGCACTAGTGGAGGTCCGAACAATATGCATTATTAGTACAGAGTTGTTAAACACAGCGCAGCTGCTAATATAGCCAGCGTTGCCACATTAGTGGAACAAACAGCTGTTGGAGCCATGCTAATTAACAGATGGTCAACTTAAGTTGACTGCTCTGTATTCCGTACATATGTTAAATTGAAATTTTAGCGGCTTTTACAAATTTTCATTTTATTGAACATATTGACTAATCGTTCACCCGTTTTCTCACATTAGCCTTCTGAAATATGCACGAAAAGAATTTCTTGTAAAGCAAATACTATAAAAAATCGAAATGAAATGATGCAATTCTTACAAGTGGTAATAAGTATTAATAAGTGGTGTCTTTTACCTTATAAAGTTTTATTTTTTGACAACTAGATTCGTGTGCTTTGTGATAGCACTCACCTGTATAAATATAACTAAAATTCCACTATTTGACCCTGAAGGATGGCCGCAAATAAAAACAAAAAGAAAAAATCGAAGAAAGGACAAATAAATTTAAGACTAGCGCATTTCCTACATGAACATTTGTGGAAAATATGTCTTGCCATTGCCACATTCGATCTAGCGCATGCGCTTTTTTTTGTTCTCCAAGCGACCATTTCATTGGTCACAAGAGTAAGTAAGTCGGATATTTGGTTAAATCTATGAGGCCTTTAAGACAGTCCTAAAATCAGTTCAATATGTTCTCAACATTGGCGCTACTGGGAACTATATTTTGGGTGCTTATGGTGGTACTGTTTCTTGTGGGTCTGTGGAAGGTGCGTAGAAATTGCTTCAATGGTTAAATTTAACTCAGATAATCAAAGTCTGTAATAATAATTACATCATATAGAGACGTCCTGTATTTGTTAAAGCCTGGCTTATCTTTTCTATAATTGGCTTTCTCGCGGATATAGGATTTTTGATCTGGGGAATCGTGTCGTCTGTAACAATCGACTGGGATAACTTGAAAGAGTTTACCATTATATTTGTGGGAATTTGTACGTGAGATTCTGTTTCACAGTGTTACATATCTTATCATATTTTCATTTTAGTTATCGAGATCACCTGTATATACGTGGTATACAGGTACTATTTGATTATGGATCCGTGTCGATTGGTCGATGAGCCCGAACGTGGTAGAAAGAAAAAGTCAAGGAAGCCGCTTGATAAAAAGGCTTGTAAAGGTAAGAGTAATACGTATAACTCTTCTATAACCCAATTTCTATATAAACAAAAAAAAACATACTATATTTACAATTTATAGAGAGCAAAAAGAAGGAAAAGAAGAAGAAGAAATCAGAAAAGAAAAATAAGAGATAAAACTAATTATTCTTTTTAAGATTCTAAGTGTCAAAACCTACAACATTGTTAATTTAAGTTCATCTTAGTAGGCAGAATGGCCTGCGCCCATTAAATATATTTTGAATATATACAAAACAAAAATGTCGTACTATTTTATACATTAACATATTAAAGGCCTTCAAGATGGAAGATCAACAATCAGAAAACATACCAATCGACGATGAGTGTGATTCCCCGATTGGAATAAGTCTATTGCAAATCTGTTATTTTATTGCCTTGTTCGATTTTGCTCAGTCAATTTACTTTTTGGCTCAGTCCACCAGCCTATTGGTATTGAATGTCTGTATCACTGAAATGATGTATATAATGTCTATTTATAACTATCTGGACCCGCAGGTAAATCTTTACACAATGGTTGCCTTCGCGGGATCGATATTTTGGATTTTGATGGTAATTCTGCTTATTGTGGGCCTCTGGAAGGTATGTTAGTTGGACAACAAATTTGTAACTTTCTATCAATGAAAGATTTCTCATGAGTTATAGCGGCGTCTCCGATTAATAATTTGCTGGTTGATTTTTTCGATAATTGGAATTATCGTTGACATATTCTTTTTCGTCTGGACTATTTCAATTTCCGAGTATGTCCAATGGCCACAAATAATACAGTTTACTCTTCTATATCTCGGTATAGGTGATTACGGAGTTATTTTTAATGTGGTTCTTAAAAAAAAAAACTAAACTTTTACAGTTGTTGAATGGTTGTGCATTTATATTGTCTACAGATACTGTTTAAATATAGTTATGCTATCTACCGATCGTGAAAAGCAGGATCAACCCAACACTGATCACCCGATCGAACTGGCGCCTTCGAATCATCAAAAGGCAAGCTCTGCAAATTCTAGAACTCAAAAGCCAAAAAAGTAATATGTAAGCCAAACAGCCTTTAATAGTGAATAATATTTTCTTGTGCAATAGAAAACGTGCCAAGACAATAATAGTTAAAAATTCAAGCAATCGAAGTCGAGGTTTTGAATTACTAAAACATAATGACAAAACTGATGAGACAAATTTCGATACGCCGCAAACGCTGCGCGATAGCTTAGAAAAAGAATCTTATAAGGATAAACGGATTAGACACTAAGTCTCAACATATATTTTATACACTGAACAAGTTCATTATAGCCATATTACAAATGCATGAATTCCAACATCTCTGCGCAAAAAGGCAAATGCACGTATATATGTACCTATATAATGATAATAGATTCCGATTGGCATTTACACACAATGCAAAAATCAGTTCGTTTCTACCAGCACAAAGATAATAATTGAATTTGATAGATGTCTTTTTTCTTATTTTTATTTTGCCATGGTCGCTCCATCAGGAAACTTTAACTTGGACGAGTCACGTTGTCAATGAGGCAAAATCTAATCTCAAAACGGCCATGAGGCAGCGGCTGACAAAACAAATGCCGTAAATGAATGATGGCCAGAAGACTCGTCACAAATCAGCGCAGCGAATGCACAGTGGGCTTACGTTATGAAACAACATGTCAATTTTAATGTAAAATATTAATATATATGCTGTTTCAAAGATGTGCTTAGCTCATATATAACAATTATGTGATTGCAAGGTTGTATATAAAGAAGGTTGGTTTCACTTTACAAATTAACAGGGCGCATTCTCAAAGGATGGATGAAGCAAAATGGAATTGTTCTACAATATATAAAATGTATGACACCAAGGCTTGAATCAAAAGCCGGGATCAAGTATGAATAAATCCGGGTTAACGTACCTTAAGACTGTGAGCTAGTTCAAATCGAAAACTGAACCAACGACCTCTCTTTTTTTTGCGGCTTGCAGCTCAGAGTACATATTTATTTGTTAGATATGAATAGAAGCATATATTTTTTTTGGTCTGTGTTGCTCAGCTACACTGTTGCGAATCCTCAGCTCTTGGCAATCAAATGGCATTGATTAAGAAGCAGGGTTGGCAATGGAATCCTTCTCGCCTTCCCCCTTATTGAAACTACGTGCTTATAATCATTACAGCTTTGATTTAGTGCACAGTTTTGCCGTACGTTTCAACTACAGCTGAAATGTTTGCTGGATGAGAATGGACGGCTCCTCTGATGGCTATTTGGTAGTTTGCAGCTATACAATTGCAGTACTGGATCTCATCTCCGCGGTGCTCTTTGCGAGTATCTCGGGTATGCTATATGCACAACACGTAAGTCATGTGGCTTTAGTATGGGGCTCAGCCAAGTAAGTGCCACCAATCTATAGAGTCACTGGACGTCGCTGGCTGCGCTCATCTTTTCCATTGCTTGGATGTGCATTATTTTGATTTTGTTACTGGGCATTTACCGGCGTCAGTTGAACTATGTGCGCTACTGGCTGGTCTTCACCTGCTTCGGCATTATGCTGGATGCGATTCTGTTACTTTATGGATTAACACTGGCCGTCTCAATAAATTGGGAGGGCGTCCGGATTACCCTAATGCCGTTTATAGGCTTGGGTGAGACCGTTTTCCAACCGCTTTTCAAAGTTATATGCTATACAGCTATATCCTGTTACAGCTGTGGAAATGACTTTTGTGTATATTATCTATATATTCTATTTGGATATGATAGAGCATGAACAGTGGATACCATTGTGTAGTCCCAGATTTAAAGGCGGTTGCAATCCTAAGAACAAAAAAGACACATCCCGTAGCAATGACACACAACGCAGGGAGCGCAAGCGTCTTAGGAAGATGTACAAGAGAGAGGAGAAAGCTGCCTTTAAGGAGCTGCAACGCAAGCTCCGTAGGGGTCAAGTCTAATGACCCTTCCACAACTATAACATGCCCTTCTGTCAAATCCGTTGAAAAGTAGGCCAAGCATTTTTGGTGCTCTATTCTCAGATAGCCTCACAAATGTCGTCATGCAGCTGGAGAAAGACTCGCTCCTATATTGTGCCTATGCCATAGCCGTTTTCGATCTGCTCTGCGGTGTTCTCTTTGCTGCGCTCAGTCTCTGCAAGTTCTTCACCCATGTAAGCCCCATTTGACATAGTATGCGGGTATTTTATAGATTTCGCTTAACAGTTGAGCTGGCTAACCATATTTGCGGTCTGCTTTGGTCTGTTTTGGCTGACATTGATTGGTCTGCTTTTCACAGGCATCTATAGGGTAAGTTAATATCAAATTCTCATCATTTCAAGACCCTATTAATATATTGCTTTGCAGCGTAAATCGGATCTGGTCCGGTATTGGCTTATCTTCTCATGCGGGGGCATTTTTGTGGAGACCTGTCTGATCATTTATGCTTTTCTGAGCGAGAGCACATTTCAGATAGGCCTTGCAAGCAATAGTCTGGTTCTATGCCTTGGTTTATGTAAGGAACATCTATATATGAAATGCTCTGCCGGCTCTCTGTTTATCCTGCCTTTGTCCTACAGTTGTTGAAACCATTTTTGCGTTCATTATCTATCAGTTCTATCAGGTGGTAGCGAAATGTAATCCCTGTGCTCAGCAAACGCCTCCTTGTGAATGTCCGCACCCACAGCCACCACCATCACCAAAGCCAAAGCCGAAGCCAAAACCAGAGCCACAACCTTGTCCCGCATCGACCCACAAAAGTTCCCATTCCTACAGATGCCACATATTGCAAACTAGGGACTACAATAGTCCCTACACCTGCGGACCAAAGCGGGCCGTTTATAAGCCTTTCAAGCTAGACGAACGGCGCAGCCAGCGATAGAAAGCATGCGAATGTCCATTAAATTGTTTTGAGTTGAGTTATATTTTTTTATACAAGTGCATTGTAAATAGAGGGAGTATAAAATAGAGTACGATTCTATAAATTGCATATTTTATTAAATTAATAACAGATATTAAAATATCGGTAATAAAGCATACGTGGACAGTCAATGCTATTTATGGACAGCCTATAAACGATCTGCTTAAAAGTCAACTTAAATAAGTATTTCTGTTTCGATAGCATGGATAACACTTAGCATCTTGGCTTTGACTAGCCAGCGAGCAACTTTAAAATTATACCATTTAATATGCACACAACACGCACGCAACACTCGCATATCCACTTGGCAATGTTAAAAACAAAATCCTTTTAAAATAATTTGCACAGTGGCAAAAACGAAAAACAAAAAAAAAAAAAATAAAATAAAAGAACGGAAACGGAAACAGAAACTCACAACTCGAAGCTGCCGCAAGTCTAGGGGCTGACTTGGCAGTCAGCGAACTCTTGTCTATTTATGCAAAAAATGCGCGCATATTTACATATACATTTATACTTATAATGCCAGGCTGATGAAATACGTGCGGTGGGTAAGCACACACAAGCACACACGTACACACGTACGCACACACACGTGTGACTTCCCTGATGTCATATATAATTTTCTTTTTTCGCGTTCATTTTGCACGCAGCCAGGCTAGGCTGTATGGATAACTCCCCTGGCTGGCACAAAATCTTGCAGTTCCAGCAGTTTAAAGCTTAAGTTTTTCTTGTCAAGAGTGAAGCGAACAATAGGCAAAAGAAATTAAACAAATCTATGCAAAGCGAAAATGGTTAGCGCATTGAACGGCTTCGGCATGGCCATTGGCTGCATGGACATCACTGGAGCCATCTTCTTTGAGCTGATGATTATTTACATGCTGTGTCGAAGAAACGGCGGCAGGACAACAGCTGACGACTCGAAGGAACAGCAGCGGGGACATGTGGCAAGTACGCGGTTTAAGGGAGGCGCGTTGTGGCCTGCGATTTCTCACTGTTCCTCAAACATTTCCAGCGCTCTATGGCAACAGGGTACGCCCTTGGATGCTGTGGATTTATCTGCTCCTATTGAATGTGTGGATAGTCGTTTCAATGCTCATGGTTACTGGCATTATATTGGTGCGTAGTGCTCAAACTTGTTTATAATGCGGCATCGATTGATAGCGGCTTTCACAGCATAAGCCGCAGCTGCTGCTGTTCTGGCTGCTCTGGTGCTTTGGCGGACTTATATTCGATGTGGTCTTTGTCGGTCTTTGGATCGTGGAACTGCTATCAGGCGATGCCATTGAGGCCCTGACCAACATTTTGATTTCATTACTAACAATGGGCAAGTAACATCCACCTTCATGCATGCCACTCTCTATCTAACCCATTTTTGTTGACTTTTTAAGCAATTGAATTTTCTTTCATTTACGTTATTTACAATATTTATGGGAATTTAACAAATTCGCCCAAGGAGCAAGAAATCAAAGGCAATCCCTTGCTGCGCTTTTCATACTTCTTATTTTAATTTAACAAATACTTATTACAAACAATAAAAATCTTGCTTCGAACATTTAATTCATCACTTGGCCTTCAATTCGGCTGCTTTCGGGTCAAGCTGTACCTTGACAATTTTAATGGGGACTTCCAGGGACTTGAAGAATCTATAGACGATCAATATGATGCCGATACGAGCCAGTACTTGACCAATGAGTGAACCATATACATCAGATATCTCCTGCATAAATTCCTGCTTGCTTTTGTATTTATCGCTGAACACATATTCGTACATATTGTAAAACATTTTCCCAACGTCTCCCCATTGTATCTGGGCATAGGCCATAAGTAACCAGATTTTCACCATCAATCTGTGACGCTGTTTATTGAAGATCTTTTTAAGAACTAAGAACTTCATCAGTATACCAAATTAACTGCTTACGCTAATGATGCCAACTGCCAAGACTCCGAAGCAGAAAATCTTGCACATGCCCCCAAACAATATCATAACATCCACCATATCGAACTATTGAGCGTAAAGATCATTGAGAAGCGCTTGGTTATGGCCTAGACTTGCTTACCTTCATGATTTTGGATAAGTTTACCATCTGAACCATGGTAAGGAATGCGGCGGATGCCTCATAAACAAGCGCCATGTAGCCAGCGCAGTTTATAATTACCGACATTTTAATTTTTCGAGCTCGACTTGAAAACACTGTTGTTTTATAAACTATTGCTTAAAAAGCACATAATATTTTTTACAACTTTTTTTATTGTTTTCAAATATTCAGCCTGCTGATGACAACCTATTTGAAATACTACTTTGCCGTAAGTAAACCAAATTTTAAGGTTGCATAATTATTTTCATCTGTGCAGACAGAATTATATATCTATTTGTTCTAATTGTCTTGAAGCCAAAAGAGAAGTCTTAGAGGTTCGTGACTCCTATGAGGAAAAGCTAGAAGAATAAGGAACTACTGCAATTGTTAACTCGGCGCCATTTTTAATTGGAAACTTTATAGTTGCGTTGTGTTTCGTATTCAAGTGCTTTGTAGTTTTTTATAGTCTGCCGTGGGGAAATTGATTCATTTCCGTTTTTTGCTCAGCACTTCCGCTCGAGGTCTGGCGCTTATGAAGCAGACACGAAATCAGCTTAAAGCTAACAGTGGGTAATCCAATATTAAAATGTCGGCTTAGTTCAAATCAAATTCTTGTGCCAAGGCACATTCAAATCAATGGCATTGTCACTGCTTACCAAGCTGCCAAACTGTCACTTGCAACTCGCAGGAAAGCAAAAATAAAAATATATTTATTCTTTAATAAAGAGTGCCTGGACCGCATCTTGACTGGCAACGACTCGACTCCACTCCATTCCGCTCTCTAAGGAGCCACTGGCTGTTCAAATTTATTGTTTGCAAATTGAAATTCTTGTCGACACGCACGAGCAACTGCAAAATCCATTGGGAATGCCGGGCAAAAGGCAGCTCCTTCTAGCTGCTCGAAGCTTGTCAACTCGAGCAACGACTTTGATAGCCCCGTGGATGGGCAGCTCATCATGACTTCTTAGCATTTATTAAGATTTTGATGTGCCATGAAACATATTTCGAAAATAAAATAAACAAATATTTTATAGCAGCGTTAACAAAGTCCCAAGGGAAATGAACCAGCAGCTAAATATGTTCTAGGGAAAGTGGACTTCGACGCTTGACTGCGTTAAAATTAAGCTCTATACAGGTAAGATCTATACCAAAGGGTGTGTATAGGATCCAAACTGGCTGAAATGAAGGTAAGATGCGTGCTTCCAACGTTTGGGTTTTTATAAATCCTTGAATTCTCACCAACATCCAAACACAAATTAACTTTAATCACTTTCTTCTGCTCCTGAGCTGATCTAGTCATTCGCAGATGAAGAACGTTGAACACAACAATATTTGTTATATTGGGACTATATCGCCGGACTATCCAGCCGTGCAATGACTGATTTTTGGATTATTGGCGATGGTATAAATAGATTGTAAGGATCGCTCTTTTGACGACACGAAGAATTCCTTTACTTAAAAGACATATTACTCTCACTTCTAGTTGTTGGACTGATTGAATATTTTGCTGTGGAGGTACTCTATGAAAATAAGGTAAATACTCCCATGTGGAGCTGTGTGGGTGAGTTCGTAGTGCACAATTGTTACTAGAGAGAGCGCGCAGCTGGCGAAATTCGTTTGCCATAAATCTTATTATGGTAAACCGTATCGATCGGTTGCCATAAATAGAGCTGAGCACTCCGATTGGGAGTCATTTGAAACGCGTCCATGATGGGTCTACTGTTGCTGTTTTCGCTGTTGTTTATTTCATGCATTGTTCTGGCTACTAATGGCAAGTAAAATGTGTGTTTTTGTATCGATGTGATGTATTATCCAATTATTTAGGCCAATATAATGATGAGCACATGTCTAGCGGAGTATCACACCAACATGCTTTAGGGGACAAACAAGCGGCGGGGAAAGCAATGTTGCCTGCTCCTTATTCAATCGGTATGCAAACAGCATGTATAAGGATTAATGCTAGGACTTTGGTTTTGATTATTTACTTTTTTTTCAGGCGAAAGCAATGTGAGGAAAAAGAGTGAAACCGAGTCCAAAGAAGTGGGATTAAAGGCTAGACATGCTTCTAAGAAGTCACATCGGCCGGCTGGTGGAGGTAGTACCATACATGTTCTCCAAGGGCCGCATCATGTTAATAATAGAAATTATGGGCTACGTCGAACAAATGGCAAACGTGTTGAAAGTCGCATTAGATCTATCAGCAGAGATAGTCACAGACAGGATAATAGAAAAGCTGGCAGTGCACTTCACGAAGATAGGGGTAGCAATCGTGATGTTTTTTCAGGTACGAGAAGGCGCAGTCGAAATGGTCCCACAGAAAGTATAAGAAATAAATGAACTGAACACAGAGCTGGCGGCGTTACTGAAGAGGAAACCAAGAAAACCCAACCCATAATCTGGCCGCGTGAGAAATGGCCTATTAGAAGGCGAATTTAATAATAGTGCGACATCTAATTATGTTGTCAATACGTCAACCCGTGAAAAGCCGTCGTAAACAATTCATAACTAATATATTTTTGTTTAAATAATTTGTATACCCTTTCTAAAATGAGCAATAAAAGGCATAACTAAATAATTTTAACTTTCATTTCAACAGCGAAAATTCTCCTTGATTTTCAGTTAAAATTCTTCAGACCTAGGTACAGGTTATTTCCAAACTGAACACTCAAAATTGGCTTTTGGCTGAGAGTGATAATTTTAATTGTTTCTAGGTATTGCTGATGTCGTAATCCGCAGGTGTGCATTTATTAGGCCACATGAGTCATCAGTTTACTCGGTACTCTTACTTGTAAATGTATTTTTATTAACGAGTCTAGTTAACATTAACTACTTACGCTGGCATTAATTGCTTTTTTTGCGGTGACTAATTGACCGCACGATGTAATATTTAAGTTTAAGATTCTTTTTCAGTTGTTTTTGTTCGGACTTTATGCGGCATCTTTTTTATTTTCTTTACAATACAAAAGGTGCACCGAAAGAGAATCTAAATTGCAATGTCTACGCAGGAAATTGATTGATTTCCGTTCTGCTCAGTGAAAAATGAAAGGGAAGAGCAAAGAAACGAATGGAATCAGCGCTAGCGATTCGCTCGAGTCGTTCGAGATTCTGGCGAGCTGTGGTAACCACTCAGTGAATAATCCTGCAGGGCTTAAAGTAGACACATTCACACCATTATGGGTCCATAATTTTGGCTTACAATTAGCCGTTTATGAGGCTGGGCACTTTGTTGCACTTGCAACCAAATGTTGTCTATGGTACTATGTGTGGGTTGAAGTCTGCCCAGCCAACATAAACTTTGACAAAACATATAACGGAGAGCACATGTTTTTGGCAAATGCAGCCAACGGGTGACAGAACATGTGTGCAAGCCGTGGCAAGAGCTGCCAGCTTCCCGGGTTGCTATCTGGATATGTTTGCATATCTTTCTCTCAGTAATTGGCATTGGCATACGGTGCGTATGTGTGCTGCTAAAAGCACAAGACTCACTTGTTACACGCTCAATTAAGCCAGAAATGACACCAGAGCCAACTAAAGTCACGCTTTGTATAGCTTTTAATTTAGCGCTAAGCTGAACACACACACACACTCACACCAATATACATATGTGCGAATGGCATGGCAAAGAGCCAGCCATCATACAAATATTTAATAGAAAAATAGTGTGCTTTCAATTTGCGTGTCTGCTTTTGATCTTAAAATAGATATAATATGTTTGGTATAATGCTCAAGAGTTTATATAGACTGTCAATTGTGTAGTTTCTGTAAAGCTTATGCAAAAAATAGCGCAGGGCCTTACACTTTATCTTTTGTATTTACTTTCTCAGAAAATTTAAATTTATATTCTTGTTAAACTCGTTTAAATGAAAAATTGAGATGCAGACTAATATTGTTTAGGTCTAACAAACTTCAGCAATCCGCTTATGAATAGGTATTTTGAGAAGAGTTTGGTAATTGACTAGCATTGTATTTTGTTTTATTGATTTTGATTGATTTTTGGAAATGAAATTTTCAAAGCTTTTCGAAAGCACACGTATTTTTATACTGAGCTGCCTAATTTTGCTTTAAACTATGTTTCATTGCTATTAAACAATTTAAAAATGTGCCACCATAATTACGGCCGCATCCTTTTGCCGTAAGTAAATTATCGAGTACGCAAAATTACTTTGCCAAGTCGAGCAGGACAAAGCGACTGGCAATTAGCGCAGCTCGGCATGTGGCAGGCTCGCTAATATGCTTAGTCAGGCCAAGTCCTTTGGCAGTGTGGCCCAGGACACGTGCAATACACACATGCACAAGGCCTTTAGCTGGTTTGCCAAGGGTGCAAAAAGGCTGACATTGTTTTCTAGAAAATTCCTGTGGAGAAAACTGGTATTTCGGCTTGAAGCTTAAGGTGACGAAGTGAAGGACATGACACTCACTCTCTTACATACACACACAGGTAAATACGAGGGCACACACCCAGAATTGCAAATCAGTCGTCTAATGTGTACATAATCAGTCATGTCGCAACATGTGAATTCCATTAGTGGATATTCGGTTCATGTTAACAAATGAGCGTTAATCAGCGCAGGACGCGTGAGTGAAAGAGAGAGAGAGAGAAAAAAATCATCTGGACGTGTCCAACGAATTCTTCTGCATGTTGTAGGAGCTTTTTTGTTATTTATGCTTGTTGTCTAGCCATTTAATTGTAGACATATATATTATGTATATATGTAGGGCAGCAGAAAAAAAAGCATTGTGTAGACTACTTAAGAGCACACGCACACATTATTCCACAAACAGGCACACAGACACACACAAATGCATTCACATCCGATTTACAAATTGGCCCAACTACCTTGATTTATCCTCTGATATCAATGCATTGCTGCAATGGTACTGAAAGCCGACATCTTATTAATATGCCATTCATTTGGCCGCTTCATAGTTCATTAAAGCAGGAGCTGGGCGTCCGAGTCGTGCATCCTGGCGACCGACTTGGCCGCAAAGTGCAGCCAGCAAAAATTATGCGGCTCGTTTGCCATTGCCACGTTTGTAGCTACAGCCCATGGCCAAGGAAAGGAACTGGGACAGGGACTGGTTCTGGCTCTGTAGCCGGGCCATTCGTTTATCCTTTTGTTCTCATTTATTTGCATGTCATTTGTTTGGCTCCTTCGCTTTTTTTGTATGTGTTGGTGTGTGGTTGGCATGTATGATTGTGTGTGTGCTGGTTGTTTCTTCAGTCACGTTTGCCAGGACGCCAGTTACTTATGGCTGTTCTGTGCATTACCAATATGCATTGTACGGCAACGCTCTAGGCTTTATATTTTATCAATGTTATACTACCTCACCCACGGATACTTTGAGTTTCTTAAGGTATACATAAATAACGATAAATAATATCAAAAACTCTCATTAGTTTGATACTTGATTTGGTTTAAAAGGAAATTATAAGTTATTAGCTAGTTTAAAAACGACGAGAGCATTCAACTACTTTAATAATACATACATTTTTATAACTAGTGGAGGTCTTTATGCCTGAATCTTTGATATTTTCACATTTATTTTCGTATTAAAAATTTAGTTAAGGGTACTTTTTCCGACGGAAAAGGTAAATGGATGCAGGCTGATCAAGAACGATCAAGATCGCAAATGCCTGTCTTCCGATTTTGAAGCCGGCATGGGCGTAAAACTTTAAGAGATTATTCTTGCTAAGAAATCGCATGGAATATTGCTTAAAAGAATGTACACAATTCTGCATTACGATATATATATATATATATATATTTGCTTATTTACACTTCCTCAGTGCTCTGTTCTCTGCACTGCAGTTTTAATAACGAATTGCTTTTTTATGGTTTCCGGCTTATAGAACAGCACAGAAATTGGCAAGAAAAGCAAAATCGCAGCGAGCAATTCTTTAATCATTTGTTTGTGTGTGTGTATGTGTAAGTTTGTTTTTCAAAGCTGTTCGTGTTGCTGTTGCTGATGCTGCATTGTTGCATTGTTAGGCAAGTCAAGTCTGCGGTAGCTTCCGTGGCTCGAGTCGCTGTTAATGTCGCAACAGTTACCATTCCGACCGTCTCTACCTCTGCCTCTACCTCTACCTCAGCCAGTGCCCCTGCCCCTGCCTCTGCCTCTGGCTTTATTCCTATTGCCGTTGCTCTTGTCGTTGATATTTGTGCGCCAGGCGTAATTAGTGCTCATGGCATAAGGCGCACTTCCTCTACGCGCAGCTCCTGTTGTTCTATGTCAGCCCATGGCTGGCATCGTTCGCATCGTGGCACTGCGTTGCTTTCCATTCGTAATCAGTTTTTGCAGGCTCCAGCGCTTTGTGCTGCGGATTTACTAACTGGACAACGGCAGAGTGCAAACACACATACTAATACACAACCTCGGACACCCTCGCACACACACACACACACACATACACAACAACACGTCACACTGCCTCCGTCTTCGTCATCATGTTTGCCTCTTCAGTGTTGTTGTTTTAACTTTAACAAATTTGTTATTTACGATTCATTGAATTCATTTTAATTAAGGACATGCCTTTGTATTCACATGGAGTTAAATGATATTATATTAAATGAGCCAGCCGCATAAAACTAGCACACATTTGCAAAGGCGAATCCTAAGTCTGGAATAGGTTGCTCTTGGCATGTTTGAGTGCCAAATTATGTATATACGTACATAAAACTATAACTTCTGACTGACGGACTGACAGGTTGGCCTGAAAGCTGAATACATATGATCCTCCCCCAAAGACGGAAAATGGGCGCAAGATTATTTTACTGTTTTCTCAAAGCGAGCAAGAGTCTACTAAGCTTGTAGAATGTGCTTTATCAGATATATCTTTAGCAGCTTATGAATTGAAAATTAAAATATAAACCTGGGCATCACGCACGGCCGCAATGCGGGCAGACTGCAAAAATTTGATATATTCCACAAATCTTGGCTGCAGCAAGCACTTGTTACATGATTTAACTCTTAGGATCATTGAAACTTTAATCAAATTTAGACAGTTCCTGTCTAAAAGCAAGTTCGTTATGCCTATTTAAACAAGCTTTGTCATAAAATTCAAGCACTGTTTTCAGGTTAAATATAAAATATATTTCTGGCTGTACACGAAGAATTGTGGTGTGCTCCCTAGTTGTTTCAACTTTCAATGCTAATTGCCATTTGGCAACTTTCGCGACTTGATTCAAACTTCGTTTCCCATTGGACAATGAAAGCATTCCATTTTAGTTGTTTGACTACGACTCGATTGCCGTTTGCCTTGGCCATTGTTTGAGTTCACACAGCCTTACCATTAATTTCACAATTAGTTAGCAACGGCAGCCGAAACGCCGCGGAGCCACCAGGGAACCACCTGACGGCAGCTCAAGACAAAGGTCCAAGAATCCTTAATTAATTTCTACAGCAGTTGTGTGTGTGTGTGCGAGGTGTAGTTGTGTGTCTGTTAATTTTGCCCAACTATTATTCAATTATTTGTATGCGAAAACTCGGAGAACTACGTGTTTCTACAATGACTAAAATAATCAGAGGGTGTAGCTTTTTGCAAGGCTTCAACCAGGCATTTTTGCTGACTAACTT